GCAGCCTTTGCTGCTTTATTATTTAAATTTGATCCTTAACTCTTTATTTTTGGGATCAGGAAGCAGCTTTGGTGCAGCTCCACCTGTCAGAGCCTCCTGTGTGTTGGTGGAATGTTCCTGCTCCTGCAGGGATCTCCAGCACAGGGATCCTGCAGTGCCCCTGTGGTTCTGGCAGGATGATGCACTGGGTTTAATGAATGCCTTTCCTTCTTCCCTTTCCAAAGCCTTTGTTGGGAAAGAGCAAGAAGTGATTCCTCTGGGAGAGGTGGATGAGTGGTTGGGATCTGGTGCTTCTCACTGGGAGGGGCCTGTGTGGATTTCATGTCAAGGATTGGTGCAAATTTCCCCTCTGCCATGGATTTGGCCTCCTCCTGAAGTTTACATTCCCTGTGTTCCTGGTTTATTTTGTCAGGGATGGCTTCAAGCCCTGCACAGTCATTCCTACAATATCCCAGGGACCAGGGAATGTGGGAGTGAACAGGAACACTCACTGCACTTCTCAGGAGAGCAGTGGGCAGAGAGGCCTGAGTTCTCTGGGAAATGGGATTTTGGTGAGATTTTACAAACTGGGGCTGCTTTGTGAGGGATGCCCATCCCTGGAAGTGTCCAGGGCCAGGCTGGATGGGGCTTGGAGCAGCCTGGGGTAGTGGAAGGTGCAGGGGCTGGAATGAGGGCTTTAATCCACTCCAATTCCATGGTTGGGTGCTGATTTCCAGGATTTCTGGCTGCCCAAGCTCTGCCCTGGCTGTGGTGCAGTCAGTGAGCTCCTGCTGTCTCTTTGCAGTTGATGTGGAGCATTCCCATGTCAGATTCCTGGGAAACCTGGTGTTGAACCTGTGGGACTGTGGAGGGTAGGTACTGATTGTTCCTTCCCAGCCCTTGGGGGAGGCTCTGGGGAATCAGGGGTGGAGCAGGGTGGATTCTCCTCCCCCTGGGATGAGGTGGTGCCAAGGAAATGCTCCTTCTGCTGTCCTGAGGTGCTGGAATTGCTCACTCCAGCTCCATCCAGGTGGGATTTGTGCACAGAGGCCATGCTCCTGTGGCTCATGGAAGCAGCTTTTGTCAAGGAATGCTGTCCCCTCCTCAGCTCCATGGCCTCTGGACCACCTCAGTCATGTTCAGCCAGAGTTAAAGAGATTTAACCCTGGGATTTAAGGCTGAGCTGATGCTTTGGGTCACGTTTCACCTGTTCTGCTGCTGTGGGCTTTCACAAAAGGCTCCTTAAAGCCAGCCTGGGGCCTGAAGCAGCAGCACATGAGGAACCTTTGGTTTCCTGTGGGACTGGGGGGTTGGGAATGCCCAGGGCACACAGCTCCAGCCTGGCCCTCCTGCCAGGAGCAGCTTCCCACAGACTGCCCTAAGGAGTGTCCTGCTGTGCCCCCAGGCAGGACACCTTCATGGAGAACTACTTCACCAGCCAGAGGGACAACATCTTCCGCAACGTGGAGGTGCTCATCTACGTGTTCGACGTGGAGAGCAGGGAGCTGGAGAAGGACATGCACTACTACCAGTCCTGCCTGGAGGCCATCCTGCAGAACTCCCCTGATGCCAAGATCTTCTGCCTGGTGCACAAGATGGACTTGGTGCAGGAGGACCAGCGGGATCTGGTGAGGAGCTGGCATTGCCATGGAAATGCATCCCTTGTGGGTCACAGCTCCAAGGCAGCCCCTGGGGCCGTTCCTCAAAGGCTTTCTCAGATCTCCTCAGAGCTTTTCCTGCCTTCTTTTAAAGTGTGTCATCCTAGAATCCACTGGAGAGCAGCAGTGCTGGTTTTTAGGGACAGGAAAAGCCTTTCCTGTCTGGTTCCAGAGCTGCCAGCACACCTTGGCTCCTTCCAACCCAAACAGTTTTGGGATTGTGCACCAAGACACCCCTGCTGCTCCCTGGGAGGGTTCCTGGCCACTCTGCCCTGCAGTGTCCCAGAGATCCATGTGAAACTCACTCCATAAATCCATACAGCAGCCACAGCACAGGCAGGAACATTTCACCCAACTCTCTTTGCCCCCCAGATTTTTAAGGAGCGTGAGGAGGACCTGAAGCGCCTCTCCCGGCCCTTGGAGTGTGTTTGTTTCAGAACTTCCATTTGGGATGAGACCCTTTACAAGGTTGGTGCAGCTCCCTCTCCACATCTGGGAGGATTCTTCCTCTTCCCACTGGGAGCAGGGCAGGAGGAGGATCCCTGGAGCTGCTGCTGCTGCTGTGTTCAGCTCTGCAGCTGCTTCTGTAGGGGTGTCAGTGAAACTCAGATTAACCCTGGGTTTAATTAATTGATTTTAAAAAGTCAGGAGCATGTGGTAAATATTGGGAGCTTGGCAGACAGGCATCCAAACATCCCCCTGGCTCTGGGAAGGGTGAGGTTGCCACTGCCCCACACCTGGGTCAGCAGCTGGGCAGGGAGGGGAGGCTGAGTGTGGATGAGCACAGATGTTGATCCCAGCATCCCCCAGCCCTCCTGAGTTTGTTCCTGGCCTGTTGGGATAAGGTGGAACTTTGTTTGGGTCAGGGATGAGCTGCCAAGTGTCCATCTGTGTGCTGACCTTGCTCAGGATTAAAAATCTCTGTGAACTTAAGTGGAGGAAGGAGACACAAACATTCCCAGCTTAAAGCAGGGATGATTTCAGTCTGTTCAGCAGCACTGCATTTTCTGTGCCTGCTGGAGAAGAACTGGAGCCAGGGAAGGATCCCCTCAGGTCTGGGCTCCCTCTGGGGATTGGGTATGGAGGGTGGAGGAGCTGCTCAGCCTTGCCCAGGCTGTCAGCAGCCAGAAGTGCCAAAAATCCCTCTGGGAGCACATTTCTCACAAGGGGCTGAGGAGAGGAGCTGGTGGGACCTTTGTGTGTCTCCCTGTGCAGGCCTGGTCCAGCATTGTCTACCAGCTGATCCCCAACGTGCAGCAGCTGGAGATGAACCTGAGGAACTTTGCTCAGATCATCGAGGCAGACGAGGTGCTGCTGTTTGAGAGAGCCACGTTCCTGGTGAGTTCCTGGATTCCCTGGGGGGAGCCTCCCTTTCCCTCCCTGTGCTCTGGAGCCAGGCTGGGAGAGCTGGGGGTGCCCACCTGGACAGGAGCAGCTCCAGGGAGAGCTCAGAGCCCTGCCAGGGCATGGAGGGGCTCCAGAGAGGGGCTGGGGACAAGGATGGAGGGACAGGACACAGGAATGGCTCCCAGTGCCAGAGGGCAGGGATGGATGGGATATTGGGAATTGGGAATTGTTCCCTGTGAGGGTGGGCAGGCCCTGGCACAGGTGCCCACCCTGGATCCCTGGAAATGTCCAAGGTTGGCTGGAGCACCTTGGGGTGGTGGGAGGTGTCCCTGCCCAAGGAATCATCAAATCCCTTCCTACCCAAACTTGGCTTTAAACTGGAAGGGAGTAGGTTTACATTAGGTATTGGGGAAAAAACTTCCCTGGCAGTGTGGGCAGGCCCTAGCAGAGGTGCCCACCCTGGATCCCTGGCAGTGCCCAAGGCCAGGCTGGGCACTGGGGCAGTGGGAGGTGTCAGGTTGGACCTGAATGAGCTTTGAGGCCCTTCCAAGCCAAACCCTTGTGGGATCCCATGGAGGCTGGGAGGTGGCAGCCCCAGTTAGGAGTGCCCTGATCCAGGCCTTGGGGTCCTGTGGCCCATGGCACCATCCCAGAGTCCCCCTGCAGCAGCTGAGCTGAGCTTTGGTTGGGGTTTCCTCCTGCAGGCTCTGGGAGTGTTTCATGTCCCCATTGTGGTGGGGCTGCTCTGAGAATCCCCCTCTGCACAGGGCAGGAACCTTTTGGAGCTTCAAACCAAACCTTTTCACTTCCTCCTGCTGGAGCATTTGAGCTGGACCTGATTCCTTTTGGTTTTTGATGTTCTGCAAATCCAGAGCATGGATGGGGGGTCAGCCATGGGATTGTGATGCTTTTCCAGGTCCTTGTGCTCCCAATCCCTCTGCAAAGATAAAACCACTCTTGGTGCTTGGCCATATTCCTGACTGCTGGGCTGGGCTCTTCACACTTTGCACCAAACTCTTGCTGAGCTGAAGGAAATACTTGAATTATTTGGAGTGTTTTCCTTGCTGGTGATTTGGAAATGATGGAGGGAATTTGGGAAAGGAGCCATGACTTTTTTTTTTTCCTCCTTAAACTATCAGAAACAAACACTTGCCATGCCTGGCAAGTTCTGCTTTTTGACCTTTTGGAGATAATGAATAGTTCCACCTTGGGGTGTGTGACAGTGTGATTGTTACAAGGACATTTTTAACTGAAAGAAATTATCTTTGCTTCAAAAATTGTGTGCTTAATTTAAGTGCAGTGGTGACTTCTTAAAAAACTCCTCCCTTTTTTTCATATACTTAAACATTCTCAGGACTCTCTTCTCTTGGAGGGAAATCTTCCTGTGAAAATCTCTTTGGGAGATCTTATTCTGAAATTGTGTTTAAATTGGAGTGGAAAAACCTCATCTGGGAAGTTTAGGAAGGAGATTGAACACTGGGAACTGCAAGTCTTGAATGTGGCTAAAGCTGTGCTTGTGGGAATAATTGGGCAAGTTTAAAAAGTGATGGGTTTCAAGTGGTTAAGGGAAAAAAAGAGGGAAAAACCCTAAAACCTCTGATAAATGTGACTCCTTAAATAGAGCAGTTCAGATCCCTGTGCAAGGGCTCCTGATACATCCAGAGAGCTGATTTTGGGATTGTGAAGAGTTGAAAGCAGCTGGCCTGAGGTTTTGAAGAGATTGCTGTCATCTCTGCTGTGGGGATGGAGCTGTGTGGGCAGGAAATGCAGCTCTCACTCCGTGGGGCTGAGCCATAAAGGGCTGGGGCCACCAGCTGGGAGGGAATGTTTGTGGAGATGTTTCCAGGGGTTCCTGAAGCCCTTCAGACCCTCTGGGTGTTGGCATCCAGACTGGAGTGAGAGAGGGAATAGAGAAGGAATTCCCAAGGAAGCAGCTTTGAGCTGCCTTTGAGCTGCTTTTCTTGGGGAGGAGCAGCTTGATTTGCCTTTGGGATCATTGCCTGTGCAGGATGGGAGGGAAAATCCATCCCAGCCCGTTCCTGAGAGAGGTGATGGACACATTTTTTACTCTGTTCCCACCTGTTTTTGGAGCAAGATGTAAATTGCTGCTGAGGTGAATCCCTCAGGGGACAGTGGTGTCACCTGGCAGGTCTGTGCCACAAGAATTTCTGTAAAACTCCCAAGATCAGTCAGCCAAAGGCACAGAGGGGTCCCCCCTGCTCCCCAGGCATTCCCAGAGCTGCTGTGGGAGGGCTGGGCTGGAATCCTGACTCCTGCCCCTCTCCAGGTGATCTCCCACTACCAGTGCAAGGAGCAGCGGGACGTGCACAGGTTTGAGAAGATCAGCAACATCATCAAACAGTTCAAGCTGAGCTGCAGGTGAGCTGCTCCCCTCAGCACTGGGGACATCAGGGCTGTTCCAGCTCTCTCCAGAGAATCCCACTTTGACTCCTCAGCAGCTGGAACACAAACCATTTAAATGTTAATTTAACTCCTCCTTTGCTCGTGGTGGGAGAGCTTTGGTGCTGTTTTGTTCCAGGTCTCCTCCTCCTGGATCAAGGCAGGGGAATTGCAGGGCTGGAGTGGTCAGAAGTGTTTCTCTTGGAATCTGGGAATGGAGAGCTCTGTTCCAACCCAGGCCCACAGGGCTGCCTGGGGAGGATGGGGCTTGCAGGCACTGTTTATCCCTGATTTCAGTGGAAAAATGGGAAACTTGGCTTTGCACAGCCCTCAGGCTCCACTGCCAGGTTAATTGTGAGGGTGTGTGGAGCTGGATAGAATGGAGAAGTTTCTGGGGGGTTACAGATGTTCAGGTGTCTCCAGATATTCCCATTTTATGCTTATTTCTGCTGCTTATCCAGAGTGTCCAGCTGGGAATGGCTGAGCCCTGGTATCCATGGGGAGCAGGCCTGGTCAGGGAGGTTGTGTCTGGAATTTCCTTCATTCAATGCCCAAGCAGCTGATATTGTTCTCATTTGGCCCCAAACTGAGGAATTTGCCTTTAAAACCAAGCCCAGCCAAAGCCCTGCTGTAACCACACCTTGCCAAGTGGGAATTCCAGCTCCTCCTTGTTCCCAACAGCTCAGATCAGGGATTTTGCCCATGTGGGCACAAAAGCTCTTCATTCACTCTTTTTCTCCCCTTTATTTCCTTGTTTTTCAGTAAGCTGGCAGCTTCTTTCCAGAGCATGGAGGTCAGGAACTCCAACTTTGCTGCTTTCATTGACATCTTCACATCCAACACCTACGTGATGGTGGTCATGTCAGACCCCTCCATACGTAAGTCAGAGCCAAGAGAAACCTGCTTGGGACAAAAAAAAACCCCAGAAAAACCTCAAAAAATTTGTAATTAGTCCAGTTTAAACCGTGTTTCTCTTGGAAAATGAGTTTTTAATTACAGAACTGATGAAGAGAGAGGGGTTGAGTGTGAGGTGGTGGTGGCACAGCTGAGCTGTCACAGGGAGCCACCAAGGCAGACCTGGCTGAGCAGGTCGTGCCTAAAGCCTATTTTGGGCAGCTGGGAGCTGGCAGCCCCGGTGATTTTTGGGGAGGAAGCAGAGCTGGCTCATGTTTGGGTGTTGCTGGGCTCTCTTGGGTGGACAGGCTCTAATTTTAGCAGCCTCTGTTTATCCCAAGGAGGAGCTGCAGCAGTGCCAGCCCACAGCCCCTGGGAGCAGATCCCTGTTTACACAGCTCTTGGAATTCCTGCTGGGAGCTCAGGGGCTCCGGGGACACTGCCCAGCCCTCCCCAGGCCTGCTGCTGTGCTTTCCCTGCCTCCTCCTTGGGGAATCAGGGACTCTGGGCATCCCTGGGCATTGCTGGGCTGGGGAGCAGCTCTGGGAGGAGCAGCTTTTGCTCGTGTTCTGCTGGGATCAGCCACCAGCCCTGACCATCCCACGTTCAATTTACCCAGACCATCCCACACTAAACTTTGCCCAGACCTTCCCACATCAAATTTTGCTCAGACCTTCCCATTGCTTTTTACCAATCCCACATGAAATTTTGCCCAGACCTTCCCATATTCAATTTTGCTTAGACTATGCCATGCTGAATTTTGCCCAGACCTTCCCATGCTTACTTTTTACCCATCCCACATGAAATTTCACCCAGATCTTCCCATGGTTTTTATCCATCCCACATGAAATTTTGCCCAGACCTTCCCATGTTAAATTTTGCTCAGACCCTTCCATGCTGAATTTTGCCCA